CTTGTATCAGGAACAGTGTGGCCAGCAGGAGTAGGGAAGTGATCGTGCCCCTGTACTCGGCGCTGGTGAGGCCGCACCTCGAGTACTGTGTTCAGTTTTGGGCCCCTCAGCACAAGAAAGAAATTGAGGTGATGGAGCGTGTCCAGAGAAGGATAATGAGGCTGATGAGGGGCATGGAGAACAAGACTTATGAGGAGAGGCTGAGGGAACTGGGGTTAATTAAACTGGAGAAGAGGAGGCTGAGGGGGGACCTTATCGCTCTCCACAACTACCTGAAAGGAGGTTGTAGTGAGGCAGGTGTTGGTCTCTTCTCCCAGGTAACTAGCAATAGTACGAGAGGCAATGGCCTCAAGTTGCGCCAGGGGAGGTTTAGACTGGGTATTAGGAAAAATTTTTTTACTGAAAGAGTGGTCAGACATTGGAACAGGCTGCCCCGGGAAGTGGTGGAGTCACCAGTCCTGGAGGTGTTCAAAAAACATGTAGATATGGCACTTCAGGACATGGTTTAGTAGGCAAGGTGGTGTTGGGTTGATGGTTGGACTTCATGATCTTAGAGGTCTCTTCCAACCTTAATGATTCTATGATCATCAGATCATTCCTTTCCAGAATTGGCAGGATTACCCCATTCAGGACATGATGATGAGAAGTCATAAAACCTGAACCCCTTTACACAATTCTGTTTAAATACACGTCAGTGTAAATTTTTTTTTCTGCTACAACCATTTTTTCAGAAATTTGTTAAGAATATTTTCCTTCAGAAAGAAAGTTTTCCTAACAGTGAACAGATCTACCACCTTAGGTAGAAGGTAAAATACCCTTTCGGATCCTACAAATCTCATCAGCATTTGGGCTTTTCTTTTGATCACACCTGGATGTTGTTTGACGTTAGAAGTCTTGACTCAGTACCAACGTACCACACATCATGATTAGCAACATTTAAAAGCATATCTTATCCCTTGTAACATCAGATCTCAAAAGCTTTACTCTACATCCCACTTGTCACATTCTGCTTGTGAACAATAAATTCTTAATGACAGATTTCTAAAGTCAGTTAAAACTTTGACAAAAAACACTGATCACAGAATCTAGTCTGCTTGAAGTCTTAATCCCACTTTAAAGCAAATCTTTAAACAAACATGTAAGAAAACGGACCTAAATGTCACTTGTCACCCTTAAACGGAAAATCAGCCTTTCCAATTTGTTCTATGGCTCTCAAAGACGCTCAGAGAGGCAACTGAGCTAACAGCAGGTCTCCTACAGAATGAGGAATCCTTCTTCCAGCACATTCTCCTGGACTGCAACTGCTGACCTCCAGCAAGAATGACAGTTAATGCCTTTTTGTTACATAAACATGATCCTTGAACTTACTTAAAGAGCATAAAGCATATTTGAATCTGGCCTTTTTCAGCTCTAAGTGCAGACAGCAGACAGATGGGCTGTCTTTACAGTAAGATCTGTATGTACAGCAAAAGGGTAGGTAGGAGAGCTGTCCCTGGCTAACTCATCCCTCCAAAGCAAGTTAAAGTTCATCCTGTGGAACCCTCCTGAAGGAGAGACTGGCCAGCCCGTATGATTTGGAGCATGAGAAAGAAAAGACTTCTGCAATCCCTGAAAGAAGTAATAGAAAATCATAACTACTGACTGTGAGAAGAACTCCATAAAAGTCTTAGGCCCCTGAATTTCCTAAAATATGCAGGAACAAATCAAGTTGTCAGGCCATAAATATAAGTAAATCAGAAATTTTAGTAACTGGCATCTGACAACAGCAAGGGTCATCTATGATGTTCCCTTGAAAATTCTAGAGAGATACATACAGCTCCAGAGAACTGCTCCAATTATTGTTTGTTTTCAAGGGGCTGGAATATGTGTCACGGAGCTGCCACCCAAAGTACAGAACTGCCAGCGCGCACTCACAAGGTCTGCAACCCTGCCATGTGTTGATCCTTCCTACCTGCACTTATCTGGTGCAATGAATAACAAATTAAACATATTTCACTGACATAGTGTTTCTTTGTTCAAATATAAGAGGTAGCTTGCTTTCATTTTTAAATGGTAACTCCTGCCCATTTGTGGTACCTGTTTGACAGGCTCATCTGCAAAGAGTCTTCTCCTGTAAGTCCACTCCCACTCATGCCTTGCTCTGGTTTTGTTTCCTGTAAAAATACAAGTATGAGCAGCTGTGCATCTCCTGTTGGGCAGAGAGCAAATGTTTTTAGAAAAGTATTTGAAAACCAAATTCTGTCTTGTACAGACTTGGTAAAAATTAACAGCTATACATTTCCTTTGCTTGTAGGCACAGTAAAACTCCATGGGTTGCTTAAAGAATAAAGGCTGAATAAAGAACTAAAAAAATGCAAATATATAGCTCAGAAGAAGCACTAAGATTTAATTTTTCATGGAAAAAGTACACAAAATATCAGATTTCACATCTAGTACTGTTGAAGTTCTGGGATCGGACCCCTAACTACTCAGTTCATGCACCTTAAATAGCTAGATTTCACCTGATAAAGCAAAGTCCGACTCTGGAGAAGTATGGGGAAAAAAAAAATTGCCTTTCAGAGAATCATTAAAAACACAAATCCACCAAAACTTTCCAAACTGTTTTTGCCTTGAGTCAATGCTAAGCTCTACCAATTTCATCCTGCAAGATTTTTAAAGGGTGAATGATTTTACGAGACACACAAACAACAATAACACCTCCCCTTATTCATTTATAGCTGCCACAGCTCAACAGATAACCAAATACTTCCAATCAGAAAGAAATTCTAAGAACTTCAACAAACTGTAAAGAATAAAATCTCGCTCTCCGAAGCCCATACCCACAGATCAGTACAATGGTTATTTCACACAAGGCTAAAAGTCTACCGACTGAGGCACAACCATAAAAATGTACTGGAAGTCATTTTCTCCCCTCAAGTACTAATGCTTCAGTAGTATAAATTAATATGAAGAGGTTTTATTAGCCAACTTTAAAGATTAAATATGTCTAGACAGGAAATCAGTATTTCATATAAAATTTTGCTTTTTTCACTGTTCTTTCATATTCATCCATGGCTTTAAGACTGTTACCACTAACTTCTCATGCTCAGAAAAGAAATTAAAACAGACTTTAAAACTAATGAACAGTCAGTTTTCTATCTTAGGTTTTGTGGAATTTTACAGCTCATACTACTCATAAATACGTCTGTTCTTCAAACTATCAAAAGAAAGCTGCAGAAAGGTAGGTAATCTGCATGAAAATGTTAAATTAGTGGCACAGCTCTTCGATTCTAGGTTCCCAAACACAAATTTCATGTTTGTTTAACACAAATATTAGATAATATTGCCTTAGGTTTGTGTAATGAAAAGAAATGCAGAACCAAAACACTACAGGTAAATGTTTCAGGTAGGGTCTGATCCAAAGTTTTCTGAAATCAAAAGAAGCTGGACTTCAGACCCTGTTGAAACATCTTTTACTGTGTATATCCTCAGTCACTAACTGCATATTGAGTTACTCTCAAAGCTCTCAGGGACAAATATGGAGGTATCCAGCCTTCCCACTGCAACCAGAAGAAAACTCTGCTTGCTTCTTAAACTTACCTCTTTAATAGTGCTGTTCCTCCCTCGCCATGAAAACCACCACCTTCCACCTTTTTTGGGCATCTTGTCACGCATTATAGATTCCACAGTGGCCTGTCATAGATGGATGGTAACATAAAAAAAACCAAAACAAAGGACAACCTGATATATGTAAATGAAAGAAAGTACCAAACACACAATTTTAACTGATAATAAAGAGAATAAAAGTAAACATACTGTCTGTGGACCATAAATTCTACTAAAGCAAAATCTAATGGTATCCAGAGCCGCTCTGAAGTAACTTAAGCATGAATACTTATGGTATTTTTAAAAGGAAAATGAAAAAGAGAACATTAAAGGAAGAAAAAAAAACATAAATAGATATTAGTATAATGTCTAGAATGGAGGACCTACTGTTTTTAAAATGAAGTTACTTAGTGCAAACTATATTAAATAACAGAAAAATACAACTTCCTGAAGGAGCTCTCATGCAAAACAGTAACAAACCCACATGCAAGATGGTTATTCTCATTTAAAAATAAGTACAAAGTTCATATTTTATCACCAGTTCAGAAAAAAGCAAAAAAGTTACTAGCTTTTACGGGTTTAGTATGATGTTATGAATTTGACTGACAGTGTTAGAACTGCTTTGTTTTTTTTTTTTTAAATCCAGGCTACTTTTCATTGATTGTATATACTAGATCTCAGTAGAGAAAAATTTTTTTCAACACCCAGAATGACTGAAGCCTTATGCACTGTAACAGGGAGAGCTGAATTCTTTCACTCAGAGCGCAAGCAAAAGAAAAAAGGGGAAAATATTACAGTAAAGGTGGCCACAATGTTTGGTACACTCTGGAGTAGCTTTCTGAGATTATAGCCTCCAATGTAAGCAAAGTCACCAAAATAAAACTGTGATGTTGATTGGTGATTAAAAAAAAACAAACAAACAAAAAAACCCACCAAAAAACATCACACAGAATCATAGAATGGTTTGGGTTGGAAGGGACCTTAAAGACCACCTAGTTCCAACACCCCTGCCATGCGCTGGGACACCTTCCACTAGACCAGGTTGCTCAAAGCCCCATCCAACCTGGCCTTGAATGTTTCCAGGGATAGGGCCTCCATAGCTTCTCCAGGCAACCTGTTCCAGTGCCTCACCATCCTCACCGTAGAAAATTTCTTGCTTATGCCTACCCTCTTTCAGCTTGAAGCCATTACCCCTTGTCCTATCACTACAGGCCCTTGTAAAAAGTCCCTCTCCAGCTTTCCTGTAGGCCCCTTCAGGCACAGGAAGCCTGCAGTGAGGTCTCCCCTCAGCCTTCTCTTCTCCAGGCTGAACAGCCCCAACTCTCTCAGCCTCTCCTCACAGCAGAGCTGTTCCAGCCCTCGGATCATTTTTGTGGCCTCCTCTGGACCCGCTCCAACAGCTCCATGTCTTTGCTGTGCTGAGGGCTCCAGAGCTGGATGCAGGACTCCAGGTTAGCTCTCACCAGAGCAGAGTAAAGGGGCAGAATCCTCTCCCTTGACCTGCTGGCCACACTGCTTTTGATGCAGCCCAGGATATGGTTGGCTTTATGGGCTGCAAGCGCACATTACTGGGTCACTCTGAGCTTTTCACCAACCACCACCCCCAAGTCCTTCTCCTCAGGGCTGCTCTCAATCCATTCTCTGCCCAGCCTGTATTTGTGCTTGGGATTGCCCCCACCCATGCGCAGGACCTTGCACTTGACCTTGTTGAATCTCAGACTCAATCAGGCCCACCTGTCAAGCCTGACAAGGTCCCTCTGGATGGCGTCCCTTCCCTCCAGCATGTCGATCTCACCACCCAGCTTGGTGTCATCAGCAAGCTTATTGAGCATGCGCTCAACCCCACTGTCTGTTTTGCTGACAAAGATGTTAAGGTCCTAATACTGACCCCTGAGGAACACCACTCGTCACTGGTCTCCTCTTGGAGATCAAGCCATTGACTGAAACTCTTTGAGTGTTACCATCCAGCCAATTCCTTATCCACCAAGTAGTCCATCCATCAAATCCATGTCTCGCTAATTTAGAGATAAGGATGTCATGTGAGACAGTGTCAAATGCTTTGCACAAGTCCAGGTAGATGACACCAGTTGCTCTTCCTTTTTCCACCACCACAGTAACCCCATCGTAGGAGGCCACCAGATTTGTGTGGCAGGATTTGCCCTTAGTGAAGCCATGCTGGCGGTCACCAATGACTTTATTTTCCATGTGCCTTAGCACAGTTTCCAGGAGGATCTGCTCCATGATCTTGCTGGGCACAGAGGTGAGACTGACTGGTCTGAAGTTCCACAGGTCCTCCTTTTCACCCTTTTTAAAAATGGGGGTTATGTTTCCCTTTTTCCAGTCACTGGGAACTTCACCAGACTGCCATGACTTCTCAAATATGATGGATAGCGGCTTAACAACTTCATCCACCAGTTCCCTCAGGACCCACGGATGTACCTCATCAGGTCCCATGGACTTGTGCACCTTCAGGTTCCTTAGATGGTCTTGAACGTGATCTTCTCGTACCGTGCTGGAGCACTTCCCAGTGAAGCCTGAGGCAAAAAAGTCGTTGAGTACCTCAGCCTTCTCCATATCCTGGGTAACCAGGTCTCCCATGTCCATCCAGAGAGGGCCCACATTTTGCCTGGTCTTTCTTTTATCACTGACATACCTACAGAGGCTTTTCTTGTTGCCCTTGACGTCTCTGGCCAGATTTAGTTCTATCAGGGCTTTGACTTCCTAACCCAATCCCTGGCTGCTCAGACAATTTCTCTGTATTCCTCCCATGCTACCTGCCCTTGCTTCCATCCTCTGTAGGCTTCCATTTCGTGCTTGAGTTTGTCTAGAAGCTCCTTGTTCATTCATGCTGGCCTCCTGGTGTTTTTGCCTGACTTGTTTGTCGGGATGCATCGCTCCTGAGCTTGGAGGAGGTGATCCTTGAATACTGACCAGCTTGCGTGGGCCCCTCTTCCCTCCAGGGCTTTATCCCATGGTACTCTACCAAGCAGGTCCCTGAATAGACCAAAGTCTGCTCTCCTGAAGTTCAGGGTAATGAGTTTGCTGTGCATCCTCCTCACTGCCCCAAGGATCTTGAACTCCATGATTTCATGGTTACCGCAGCCAACGCTGCCCTTGAGCTTCACACTTCCCACCAGCCTCTCCTTGTTGGTGAGAATAAGCATAGCACCTCTCCTCATGCACCCCTCTATCACTTGGCAAAGGAAGTTATCATCAACACAACCTTCTGGATTGCTTACACCCTGCTGTGTTGTCCCTCCAACAAATATCAGGGTGGTTGAATTCCCCCATAAGGACCAAGGCTTGTGAACGTGAGGCTGGTCCTATCTGTCTATAGAGGGCCTCATCTGCTCCATCTTCCTGGTCAGGTGGCCTGTAGCTGACTCTCACTGTGATGTCACTTGTCCCTTCCCTGCCTGTAATCCTGACCCATAAGCTCTCCATCAGCTCCTTATCCATCCCCAGGCAGAGCTCCATGCACTCCAGCCAGGCACTGACAGAGCGCAACACCCCCTCCTCATCTCCCCTGCCTGTCCTTCCTAAAGAGCCTGTATCCTTCCATTCCAACACTCCAGTGATAGGACCCATGCCACCACATCTCCACGATGCCAGTAAGATCATAGCCCAGCAGGTGTGCGCACGTCTCTCCCATGCTGCATGCATTTGCACAAAGGCATTTAAGTTGGGCCCCCGATGGAGCTCACTTACTGGCTGGAGAGGCTGGAATTCCTTTGTGCTGCTCTTCAGGTGCTCTCATGCTGACATGTGATCCTTCTCCAGGTTCTGGGCATCTGCTGCTGGGACCAGCATCAAAGTGGTAGCAGTGGGATGGACTGAGGTTCACCTCCTCTGGCAACTTTAGTTTAAAGGCCTCTTCACCAGCTCGGCAAGCCTATGACTGAAGATGCTCTTCCCCTTCTCTGACCGTTGGACCCCATCAGCCCCCATTAAACCAGGTTTCCGAAAGCGAGTTCCATGGTCTAACTAGCTGAAGTCTTGGTTGTAGAACCAGTCCTGTAACCATTTCTTGATTTGCCACATCCGACTGGCCCTTTCAAACCCCTTCTCTTTGTCCAGGAGGATTGATTGAAAAGCTACCTGCACTCCAGATTCCCTTACCACCACTCCCAGGTCTCTGTAACCCTTCTTCATACTCCTCAGACTGCTCCTGGCTGTATCACTGGTGCCCACAAGAAACAACAGCAGCAAATAGCGGACTGTATGAGGCTTGGTAGTCTCTCAGTGACATCCCTGCTACGAGCCCCCAGTAAGCAGCACATCTCTCTACAGACTGTGTCAGGTTGGCATATGGGTGCCTGGGTACCTCTCAGGAGAGAGTCGCCTACTACTATCACCTGTCACCTTTTCTTAGTTGCATTGGTTGTACATGGAGAGCAGATAGGGCTGCATCACTTGGCTCCAGCGTCTCTCCCGACGTCTTTCCTCTTCAGCCTGCAGAGCAGAGAAGCGGTTCTGCAAGGGCACCTCAGGCTTTGGGGGAAGTCTTCCTGCTGGTCCTTGTCGTTGCAAGCTTCCATTCTTCTACATTATTGGGCCTTCCCTTGTGTGTGTGTCGGTGGGGGAGTTTTTGGCTGTTTGGCCATGGGCTGTGGGTCCACTGCAGACTGCACTTGGAACCAGCTATCCATCTACTTCTCAGTCTCCCTGATGTTTTGCAGCCTTCTCACCACCTCCTGCTGCTCAGGCACCTGCTGCAGGAGCTCCTCCCCCTGGACACACCTTCAGCAGGCAGGTCTGCCACCTATCCCTGCCCCAGGAGAAAGGTCCAAGCTGTGCACAGCACCCTCTCCTTTCAGCAGCTCTGTCTGTGTAATCAGTAATCAATGATTCCAAGAACTCTTCGCAGTTGAGAGGGCTGAGTTCAGCTATTGTATGGGACAATACACCCCTTTTCCCAGTTTTCCATAGGTTCTCTTCACTATACCATCTAAAGTATATGAGAAAATTAAGAAATGACAGAGGAATAAAGTTGAACAAATAAGCTGAGAACTTTTTTAAACAAAGTAAGAAAGACAAGGAGCAGATGGAGCTACTGAGAACATAATGCCACTGTTAAGAACAGCAGCTATAATTTAAGGAAGTTCTCAAACACATGGACAACATCAAGCAGGCATCCTACTGACTTTCAGTGAGATAATTCACGTTTACAGTTAGACATGTGATTAAGTGTATTTTGCAGAACATGAGTGATCTTTTTGCAAAAACTCCAGTTTTCAACAACTTCATAAAGCCTGTTTTGATAAAGTATCTCAGTATTTCAATTCCTTAATTCCATTATCACAGCAAATCAAAACTCTAATTAAGAAAACTAGTAGGATGACTGGTAGCATAAATGAGTAATTTTAGTTTCAGAGATACAGTTCAGCCAAGTAAAGCTTCCCAATAATACAGACTGTTCCAACTATGTACACTGGCTTCTCCACTACATTGAAATTGCACTGCCTAGAAAGTCAACAGCATTCAGAACAGAAGTTAACCATTAAAAAAATGAACACATTGAACGTCGCACTCACAGAAGGCTTTTCTTAACTGATAACCTATATGAATAAATGATAAACTATATGAATAGTGGAGTAACCATAATGCTGTTGAAAAATTGCCATTTCCCTTAACAGCAAAAGTATTTCATATCAATTATTTCCATTTACCCACTCTAGGCAAAACTCAGAACATCCGGCTCAGACACCAAAGTGCACAATTAAAAATGCAGTTACCTTGCATTATCTCTATTGCCATTGAAGACCCAACAGGCGCCTACCAAGGTCTGAATCACCCTGTGGAACTGCCCAACAAATACAAAGTAGGGTAACTATACACCTCCTGTAGGCATCAGAGTTCCATGAGATGAATCCCACTTTTGATGATTGCTAGAGTATTTGCAGTAAAGCACAAAACACCTGGCTTTGTGACATCCTTGAAATTCAAGCCAGGTCTACAAGATGTTTGGGACTTCTAGGATCAATTTACTTTATACTGGGATGCTACAGTGCACCTATGCATGATTGTATACACAGGTAATGTGGCACTAAGAAAGAACGCAGTAGTAGAGAATATTCTGGGCTTTGAAGAAATTATTATTCCACACTCGTGGCAATAGAGATAGCATTTGAATTCACACAGATTAAACCCAAAGGCATGTGAAGTGCTGCAAACGGCAGATGAAAAGTTTAGGTTCCAAAATTTACTGAACCCATGGCTAACCAGGATACAAAATAATGTCAATGGTGATACTACTTCTTTACATACTTTTACAGTAGTGTGTATTTCTGTCCTGAGCATCTATGTGGCACCAGGTCACGTGGAATTGGACTAAGTTCATCAATGGATTTAATATAAGCCAACATATATAGCTGTCACATAGTCATAGCTATCTGCCACTACCGGCTTGGGTTAGCTATGAACAACCAACCGAGAAACAGAAAACCAGCAAGCTACAGGCCTTCCTTATCTAGTAGTTAAAGCTTATTCACAGAGGTTAAAATTTCTGGCCTCTATTTTTATTTGCTAATACATGCTATATACAGATAAAATGGAAAGCAGTCACCAAGTATTCAGCTACAGCAATAACTAACATGTGTCAATACAATTTATGTTTACAATCCACATTAATGAAGGAAAACATGAAGTTTTCCTCCTTCAAAATATTTGTAATGATTTTAGTCTAGCAAATAAACACTATTGACAGACTAAATTTAGTCTTGCTGATTTAGCCCTTAGTATAAGCTAGTTGAATGGTTATGTATGGACAGGTATTACTGATGTGTGGATCCTTTTGTACAACAACCCTCCTCCCTGCCTTAATAAATGGCAGAATGTCACAACTCCTCTGACCAACCTTCACGTTCAATCTCACCTTTGGCAAAGGTTTCTGGAATGCCTGCATTGCCAGCAGAAGGGGACCAGCTGTTGTCCAGTTGTAGTACCTGGGCATGCAAGAGACGATTACTGCATTTTTGCAATCCCAAGGTTTCAATTCACAGAATCACAGAATGTTCGGGGTTGGAAGGGACCTCTGTGGGTCATCTAGTCCAACCCCCCTGCCGAAGCAGGGTCACAATCTACCTAGTTTTTATCATCTGGCAGCTTAAAGCCGTGAAGCCTCTTCAGCACATGTCAAACTCTGGCCTGCACCAGTAACAGCAGACCCACCTTACTCCACAGTGTGTTCACAGGTATTTACAGCATATACTTTTCAAGATACGCAACAGAAGCTAGGTCCTTAGGTAAAAATGGTGTTTGTCATACATTCCTCATGTCCTTACTGTACCTCATTATCATAGCAAGAGCTACACTATTTACAAGCTATTTTCACTGTATTTCCATCAAGGAACTACACAAAAGTTAGGGGCCTAGTCTGTAGTATGCCAAGCTTTTGCTATTATGTGCTGAACATGGGTCAACTCTTGTTAAAAAGAATAGGACAAATACAGTATTATCATCTGTCCAGGGAAGCTGAAGCTCGCATGACATCCAGAGAACATGACAGTAAGATCCTAAGTACTCCTCTCTTCCCAACAAATCAGGAGGCAGGTAAACATCACCATCAAATTCTGAGAACTACTAAGTGACTCACCTCAGACCACAGAGAGGACCAGGTATGAGGCCATAACACACGCAGTACTATCACACCAGGATGCACCAGGCATGCCAGATTTGTATGAGCACTGTCTGTGACTAAGGGTAGCCTAACCTCTAAGTGTATCACCATGCCATGATCTCTCCTCTACTCCGTAACACTGTATGCCAGTTGCAAGGAGCTCTCAAGTTAAAACATCCTGCAAAAAGCTGCATCTGCCATAGACCATAGTGCTGCACTGCTGCCAGCAATATAAACATATGAAATAACAACTTAGCCTTGCAGAAATAGAAGTTTCATACTTGGTAGGTGAAGTTTGACAAGTCTTGAAAAGCAATGCCTTCATAGAGGCATATTAGCAAAATATTCAATATATACACACAAACTGCTGGGTACAGAGTGCTTGCAAGTAGACTGCCATATCCCTGTAAATATTAATTATTCAGACTGGCTCAGGGTAAGCCTTAGCAAGTTCACATCCTACTTAGTTTTTACTCTGCCAACTGAGTGCAAATACACTATTAGCATTTAATGTTAACTTCTTGAAACTCAAATTGTGTCAGATGGAACGGGTCATATGAAACTGCTCTTTGCTCTCAATTTAAAGGAGGAAAGGTAACTAGAAGAGCCTGAATTCACTAGACAGTTGGCTCTTACTGGATGAATCTAAGCTATGAATGCTCAAAACCTATTTTTCAGCTATGGTTAAACTGATCTAATGCACTGAAGTGTTTCTGTTACAACAGTAAAATATTTTTTTCCTGAAATATACTTACTTATTTCCAATCTTAACCACTAGGTTAGGGTCGTCAATGATAGCAGGATTATCCACAAACTGCTGATATGTTACTGCATGTTCTAAGAATTCTTCTGTGGGGGGAAAAAATTACATATGTAAAGCATGCATTTATAGATGTCTGGGATGGGCCACCCTAAACCTCTTAGGATGTCTGTCATGTAGGTTTCACAGTCTGGGTCAGCCATTCATTACTAGGGTGCTGAGATTAGCAGTAATATCGAAACAAGATGTTCAGAGACTCTCAATCTCAGGTGCTGAGGGTTTCTTTGTTCACTGCTGGGTGTCTGTCCTGCTCAAAATACAAGCTAAGTGAAAGCTCAGGGATGGAACGGTGAGGGAGGAGAATCAGGCCTCCAAGCAAGGCAAGGAACTGCTTTAAGTACTTTGTCATGCCTTTCACTGATCCTCCATCCAAGTTAGGAGCAGGAACTAATGGGCTCAACGTATATGTAAACACACAAATGATTGTGAAGTTTCTGGCTGTAAGTCCTACAGCAAAGTGAAAATGTCTATGAATAAATACCCCTTCCACTGGCTGTGACTCCTTTCACAAAATCTATGTAATTTCAAAGTGATTCAGACAACAGTACAACTTCAGTAAATCACAATATACTTGAAGTGTTTTAATAACTAGCTTCTGAACAGCAATCAGTGCAGCATCAAGCTCACATGATTTTAGGACACCATATTATTGGAGAAAGTTGAAGTCTTAACACATTTACCTTCATGTTATGTAGTTAGAAGTTTAGGGCACTGACCATTGCAAATGATTCATCTAAAAGTCACACAAGAAATTGGAGGTAGAGCAGAAAGTCAGGTTAAAGTTTCCAACTCCCCCTCCTAGTGTCCCCATTTACAGACCACCTTTTTCATTCCTGACACTGACAGCTGTGAACTTCCTAGCTAGATACCGTACCAAGCAGCAAAAGTACCGTTAACACTACTGTGACACAAAACGTAGTACTATCAGGAAATAAAAATACCAATAAAATACTTTTTAAAAAGTTTAGTATATAGTGGGTTGTTAAAATGCGTTAATAATAATAAGTACTACAGAAGTCTACTATTTTAAGTATGAAAAATTCTAGGAAACTTATCACTACAGGGACAGTATTTATGTTCTCCACACATTCTTGAGTGCAGCCACAGGAGGGCACTGCTTCCCCAATCTAGGATCCTAAAACCTGGCTGATGGCACATGCCTGTAATTCCTTAAATCACTCTGTACCTTTGGTTATTTCTTTGCTGTCAGTAAGGCCTCCACAGAGAGAAATGGCAATGGAGGGCAAATCTCGAATTCCATCCGAGGTGCTTTCAGCTCCACTGTCAACACCTGAGCTCCCGACAGACTGCGGAGACTGGCTGGCAGACCGTGGCCCCACGTCGCTCATGGTCTTGCTTTGGACATTATCCCCACTGGAAAACAAAAAAAACAGGAATTCAGTCTTCACGTATTCATTCCCAAATTCACTCTCTTCAACAAGCACCATTCAGATCTGACACACACTTAGGAAAAAGAAGGGGGGGGGAAGAAATTTGCTTCGATTTGCCATAAAATTTAAACAAAGTAGTATAGGACTCATGTACCATCAAGTATTAGATTGCTTCTACTTACTTGTCTAAGCTAGGCATGTAGAATTACAGCTTCATTTATTTACAAGAGGTAGGAGAAATAAGAAAATAAACTGTATAACCTTAGTAGATAAAATAATGCTACTATAAGCAGAGTTTATACTAGTAGAACTATTCCCACAGACACAAGAATAAGGAGGGTTGGACTAGATGACCCACAGAGGTCCCTTCCAACCCCTACTATTCTGTGATTCTGTGATTATTTAATTTATATTAATTACATAAACTGATAGCTAAACGCAAATCAAAGGACGTGTATGTGTCATGTATATATATATATATATAAATACTCTACATACAAACTACTAAGATTAAAATTTTAAGAAATGATAAATCACTGTACCCACTTAAAATCTGCATATAGATGAGACCATTATTACAAAGTGCAGGCTCATCACACTGTACTTTCCATTCCAGATTTATATGAATGCATTTGAGAAAGCAATTTTCAATACAACTTTTTTCTCCCTATTACAAACCTTTCTCAGTTTTCTTGAAATGCTAATATTACAACAGTTGAGTTTAAGCAAGAGAAAGAAAACATGCAAGTTACTTTAGTTATTGCTCAATGACTTCAGTCAAATGACGAGAGTATGATGTGGAAAGAGGACTATAAGCGTTATACGTGGCTCTAATAAAGACTGGAATAGGCTGGAAATTGTATGTTCAGGGTGCAGTATTTTCATAAATAAATTTGTCGTTCATCTTCCAAAAATTATTTTCTAGCATTCATATTTATAGGTGATCAACCAAAACAGAACAATATTAGAGCAATAATTTTGTGCTAATACTGTTAACAGTAAGATATGTTCTTCACAGTAATTAGCCAGGACATGGGGATAAATATATCCCAAGGCCAATTGCTCTCCCAGGGCATGCAAGTAACACTCACAAACATCAGCGTACATTACATAACAATCCACAATCAATATATGATGCTTAATTGACCAAAATAGAACATCAGTTTCAAGCACACTTCTCAGGCCCAAATGCAGCGCCTTCCAAAAGCTCTAATGTTCCTCTCTATTATTTTCCTTCTGCTTTCACCTTTGCTTGGACTCTGAAAAAGAGGTCTCATCTGGTTGGCAATGAAGAGTTTTATCTAAATCTGGAAGGTGACAAGAGCTCTTTAAATAGTAAACATAGAAGAAAAGGACTTATACTTCTTGGGGAAGTAAAGTGCAGCAACTTCTGGATCCATGTCAGTGAGGTCATCTAAATAGACACCATCAGCACCAAGATGCCGGCTTCGTTTGTCTGTAAGGGACGGCACAAATAAGCCTATTAATGAGCATTCTCTGAGTAACAAGCCAGAACTGTTATTACTGTTTAACTATTCATTTTAAGATTGAGAAACCAGACGAGTTCTAACACTTTGCAAACTATATTTGTATAAAATGGTACTGCCAAAAATGTCAAAATGAGTTGCTCATATACATCATTCAGACTCTGAATGCACAAAATAGGGCAGCAGAGGACTGGTTTTGAGATACGCTGAAGCCTCCCTAACCCAGATAAAACCACCAGGAATTATAAGTCGACGGTCACTGTAGGAAAACAGCAAAAGCAAAACTTTCTGAGTAGTTCCATAGGCCTATTATCACAGCAAGGCAATCAGAGCATTTAATGTCCAAGAACTAATCTTCAATTCCCCCTTGCAAAAGGGAAATAACACAACAGACTATACTATAGTCACTAATGCACTATACCTGGCTTGTTATGGAGACAGCTGACTGTTTAGCACATTCAGCTGATGATTTGTTGTGTGCACACGCACCACTGCAGGGACCAAGACAACTCTCCTTGGTCTTTCGCTAGTGCCAACACACAGTTGTTGCTGTCCTGTTGTTGCTGGTACATCTGGACGAGTAACCACTCTAAGGCCAAAACTTAGTTTGGAATTCATTCTGAAACCCACAACTTCTCACTGTCCCAGTTTCCAACATCAAACATCCAGAAAGCAATCAGCAAAAAAAGTTATGTAAGGACTGAATAGTAAGCAGAGCAACACTGTCAGTTTTGTCTTCAAAGACAGCAGAATGCGTGAGGAAGGGGCTAAGAAACTTGTGTTTACTGATTAAAAAGCAGCTGCACAAACTAGGCTTATATAGGCCTTACAAATTACAGAATAATCAGAGCTCTAGAACATAGTATTCTTAAGCAAATAAATTTCATGTGAAGATTGCAATCCTTATTATAAAATACCATGGATACAGTGCCCAGAAATAAGAAGTGGAAAAGCAGACAGAGTTAGATTTCACAAATTCAGGACAGGACCTGTACCTCTTAGAACTGAAATTGCTCACGTGAAACAAAAGCACCTTATTTTATGGCAAATCTGTTGCATATGCAAAAGGTGTACTACCACTTTGTATCAGAGTAGAGAGGTTCCACAATTACCAGCAACACATAACTACTCAGAAAGCAGTCAGAGTAGGTGAACCAGCTAGTCTACAGCGTGCTTGTACCACGCTGAATCTGTCAAATATGGATGAATTTGGAGCAAGTTTTGCAGTCTTGCTCATATACACAGAGCTGCCAAAAAACCCAGACTAAGGAGAACCTTCTATCTTACTACATGGCTCCTGTGAACAGTCTGCTGCACAGCTGAGGTTTTGAAGGTTATTTCCAAAGCTTATTCCCTTCCAGATCTGAAAGTGCCTTCAGGACACGGATTAATTTATATGACAATGAGGTGCTTTATCACCATGAAATTTAAAGACAAAATCATACCTATAAAAGTGTAGAATCAACAGCTTTACCTTTCTTTCTGGAAGGGGAATCTGTCTTGCCAGCTGGTTGGGCTGAGCAAGTTGCAGCTTGTTTTATTTCTTCATTGGCAGGCAACGGTGGTGCAGCTGCTCCTGGAGACTCTGTCTCTGGCTTATTTGTTTCGGCTGCTAAGGGCTCACTTTCATCAGCACTTGCTGCATCTGCTTGTCCAAGGGCAGGCAGAGGAGACACAGTGTTAAACTCCTCTACAGGAGCACTTTGGATGACCCGAAAGTGAGTGCTTTCAGAAGGATTTACATCCACCACACTGGGTTCCTTTGCTTTGAGCAGAGAACTGGCCTGTGAGGAAAAATAAACAGACTGCTATACAGAAAAGCTCTTAAAAAATGCAACAGCTGGAGTTTAACCTGTTCTGTTCACTCCAGTGAGATCAGATTCTCAAGGTAACCAACTACACCAGAAAGCCACCACTCACTGAGGCAAGGACTACAGCATACAAAAGACCTCTCTGCTATGCGTTTGCTTGCACAAAATTCATCTGTATCTTGGGCCCAGGAAAGATTTGTTCTGCAATGTGATCTGAAGTCTACATTTCCCACTCACCTGCCCAGGAGCACATCACAGCTCCCACCCTGCCATCCTCCCTTCCTGCACAAATCCTAGCTTTTCTTCCAAAGGTAACTCCAACAAACACGAGAAGGGAGCAGACACTGGAGTCCTTACACAATCAGGATGCTCTCAGGGACCAGGACGGGTACACTGTCATTCATCTATACCCCAGATTTAGATTTTAAATCACTTTATAGGAACAATTCTAGATCTTCTGAGTTTGGGACAGGAGGTGTACTTACAGAGGGGAGCTCAACTCCTACAGCAGCAGCTATATAGCTCCTATAACCTTCACGTCATAGCAAACAAACTCTTACATGAAGATCAACAGTATCCAGAGCATAACTCTCAGTTCAGGTATGGCCAGATCAACTCTGAATAGCTTGGCTAGGGACACAGACAGGGACTGCAGAGGGAAAATGATTCTATGATAAGCCTCCAGGAATAAGGTCTGCAATACACACCAGGCTGTGTGACTGGGATAAAAATGAAACACCCGAATCTACTAAGAGGAAACCCTAGATTCTAGACTGGAAATGTCAATTTGAAACTCCTACCTGGACCTGTGCACTTAAATCAGTTCTGTATGTACAGAAAATAGCTCCCAATTTTCTTGTAATATACATGAGGAAAATAATGCAGAGGTGATGAGACAGCTCATCTTTAGCCTACTAATGAAGAGGTCAGAGTTACTCTGAAGAATTTAAGAACTCTGGATTCCCATTCCTGTTTTTGTCACCAGCTACCAACAGTGAATTAAAGATAAATTATAATATTGCCATTGTAACTCTGGTGCCACCACCAGAATTCAGAAGTCTTCCTTCTGAGGAGGATACCCACTTCCCTGGCCTGCAAAGCAGGAATTTTGTTTCTTTATACTGTTCCTGACTCCATCACTCATGCAGCCCTTTCTGCAGAGGAGCCAGCCTTCAGCAGAAGGGGCCAAACCCTGCACCATCCCTGCCCCCATCGCTGCAATACGCCACTGGAACCTGACCTTTATTTCTCACCCCCTGGGGAGGCGTAAGCTCTTGGTCTCCCCTTTCACGTATGAATGCTCTGACTCCACAGCTGTCATAAGGAGCCGGCCAGTACCTGACTGGCCTGCAGTGTAGTCAGCTGCACAAGGCTACCATGCAGCATGGAGACAATGCTGCTGGCACACTACAGATCCTGCCGTCTAACTGGGCCAAATGGCTTCAGGCAGGGAACAGGCACCAAGCCAGTCAGCTCAGCCAAGAGAACAGCAAGCCTGGGCATGCAGAGATACAGAACTGCAGGTGTTTCCAGATGCCTATGTACTCGGGCAACTGATTTTACTTCTTGTGAATCACACTGCTAACACCAAGCACCTAATTTCCATCTCAGATCATTTACAAATTTCAGTGATTTACCAAAGGTTTGATTTTATGTTATTTAAGCTTCTAGCTTTTACAAGACTAGGTCTTAGTTACTTCTTCATTTTCTACTGTATGTCATTGGTGTTGAGAACATCCATGGCACAAGGTACTTTGCCTCCTAAGGAACAAGATGCAATTCTCTTACATAAAACATTGCAATTTTGTGTAAGAATGGGATTGATTTCCTCTTCAGCAGTCCGCAACAGAATAACCACATGTATAAACACAATAAATGCTAGCAGGAATTAATCATATTACGTTGGATACCTTTGCAGCCTGAGGTAGCTCTCCCCATGCCCAGTGCATGTGGGGATTATTCTTCAGTCCACTTCGGTCCATAGGTTTACTGACTAATTCTGAGTCACTTTGAGGAGTAGGAGGGCGTGAACCTGATCGGCTGAAGAAAAACAAACAAAAAATATTACAAAAACAAAACTAACCACAATGCACTAAGCACTTTCCAAACCGATATCCGCCAACCCAAAGCACTGAAAATCTAAACAATCATTAGCCAATTGAAAGCGCGAAAGCATGGAAAAATGGTTCAAACAGTTCAGGATCCTGTTAGACAGGCATTCAGAGGTCTCACCTATTTTTCAGTAAGTGCTGTCACAGAAGTAGGATTTGAGAAGCTGAAAGAGATGGAACAAGAGCACTGGACCTGAACATTTCAGGAGGATTTTTGTTTTTCTGTGTGGAAAGAATGAGGATAGTACCAGCAGCAGTAGATGAATAGATGTTAGTACTGCTATAATGGATGTGAAGTGCAGAAATTGGTCACTCGCATCAACAAGACACTTTATGTTGACTAAGTAATAAATTAGTCTAAGGAATCCAGTTGATTACTTCCTTCTACTAACTTGTTCCGTTCTACTGGGATGAATGTCTATAGGTTTGTGTGGCAAGGTTTTGGTAGCAGGGGGGCCTATAGGGGTGGCTTCTGTGAGAAGATGTGAGAAGCTTCCCCTATATCCAACAGAGTCAACACGAGCCGGCTCCAAGACCTCCTGCTGGCCAAGTCTGAGCCCATCAGCAATGGTGGTAGCACCTCTGTGATAACATAGTTAAGAAGGGGGTAAAAAACTGCAGCAGGAGAGAGGAGCGAGAATACGTGAGCAAAACAACTCTGCAGACACCAAGATCAGTGAAGAAGGAAGGGGAGGAGATGCTCCAGGTGCCAGAGCAGAGAGATTCCTCTGCAGCCCATGATGAAGACCATGCTGAGGCAGGCTGTGCCCCTGCAGTCCATGGAGGTCCACGGTGGAGCAGATCTCCACCTGTAGCCCATGGAAAGGACCCCACGCCAGAGCAGGTGGATGCCTGAAGGAAGCTGTGACCCCATGGGGAGCCTGTGCTGGAGCAGGCTCCTGCCAGGACCTACAGACCCATGGAGAGTGGAGCCCACGCCAGAGCAGGTTTGCTGTCAGGGCTTGTGACCCCGTGGGGGACCCATGCTGG